AAAGGGGAGGGCGGGGGGGGGGACTAAATTGTGTTAAGAAAAATATTTTTTTTCTATTGGTGATATGAATTACCGGTAAGATTTTTAAGGTATGAGAGTGCAATTTCCGAGCACATGAGCTCCATATTCTCAAAATGTTAACGCCTCAGCCCCAACCCTACTGCCAAATCCTGCATCCTTCCCAGAATCCATAAGAAGACGATCTATTCAACGGTGAAGGCATATAACAGTTGAGTGGTCTTTCCTAAAAGCATATTGATACTTTTATAATGTAATAATATTATCTTGGACTTGCTTTTCAACAAAGTTGGCTATGTGGTATACTACTGAGACTGGACTATAATCTGTCTCTTATACACATCTAGATTTATAGTATCGAAATTATGAAGAATTTTCAGATAAACATCTTCAATATCGCCAGATAGGCCTACAAGTATCGTAACATTTAGTGTGTGAATACAATTTGGGGTTTTCCATTCTGTTTTGCCTTCTTAATTGAGTTTTAAATTTCTGTTCCTATATTGCTAAAACAATCGCTAAGATGTTCACAATTAAGATTTGGATGAATATTGTTTCAATTTTTGTTTGGGATCGTGCTTATATCTGTTTTCAACTGATAAACATAATAATCTGATTTGCATTTAATATTTGCATATTATGGTCAGTCCAGTCAATAGACGGCTTTTCAAATGTGCCTTATGAGAACATCTAAAAGTTAAAAATAAAAATTCCAAAAGATTTATTGTCAAAATATTATAAAATTCGGAATGTCCCATGCTCCAAAACTAACACATCGATGATATACATCTTGTTCACGTGGTTAATCAATTTGCATGCGTCAATGGCCCCGACTGTACTCTTAAACCAGGGCCCCTCACAACCTGGTTACGCCACTGGAAGGCACCCTTTCGTATGTAATTCCGCTACTCCGCGATGGAAAATGGTAAATTTGGTGTCTAAACATATGGTATTGGGCTGGAAAAGTCAATGTTGTTGTTTTTATTTATTTTTTTTTCTTGCCTATCGTTTTCCTTTTTTTTGTACTAGGTGTTTTTTTCCGCCACTGCCAGGCACTTTGGTCAGTTTCCATGCTTGGATCTTTCCGTACTATATCGAAGCATAGACCATATATCAAGAATGTGCCTCCTAATATTTAGTGTCAATCAAGAGTGTGGTGTGTATTAAAGGATTTAAGGAAAAAATTAAACTTTCGGGAAAGTTTAACCAAGTAAGAAGGAAGAAATTAATATGTGCTGGTGACGATCCAATTTAGGATGTAAACATGAGGATCATTAATTTCTGACGTCTCAGACATAAATATCTCTAAATACTTGATGAAACTTGATGAAAAATGAAACTTTTTATAATAGTTTGTCAAGGTCAGTAAAGAAACGATTAAATTGTTATGACGATTCGGTGTAGGGTGTGCATATGAGGACCATTCAAATGAAAACGTCCCAAACAATTCAAAAACGGATCAAATGATCTCAATGAAACTTTTGGAAAAGTTTAACCAAGTTACAAGGAAGAAAGTATTTTGTGTTGGTGATGATCCAATTTAGGATGTAAATGTGAGGGTCATTTAAACTTCTGACGTCCCAGACCTAAATGTCACTAAAAACGTATCAATTGGTCTAAATGAAACTTTCTATAATAGTTTGTTAAGGTCTAGTAAGAACAATTAGAAATTTTTGTTACGATCCGGCGGCCGTTCCTTGGCAAAACAACGTAACTTAAAAGTTTCACTTTTCAAGAAAAAAATAGTTAAAAGTTTGTTTTTTTTAAAACTATTAACCTTTTCATATTTTCAGTGTGTGTTATTGTGTGCAATATGTGCTTTGTATCTTATATTTTAGTATTATTAGCATTAAATGTTCTTATTCATTGTACCAGAAAAGCAAATTTCATATATTTTATTCATTACGGTACATGACCAATAACTGATCACAAAAATCACCAAGTAAAGCTATCGCCGATAGGGTGTAGCGACTGTATGGAAACAAAGCTTAACACACATTTTTAGAAAAAAAACCCCAAAAATACAGAAAGTACAAAAAAGAAATATCAACAATTATAGAGATTTTAAAGCTATGCCTAAAAAAACCATATTGTAATAATTAGTGATCATCAGACTCGTTCAATAACAATAAATAACTTAATGCTATACGAAGTTTATATGTGGTCATTTAAATATGTGTGTGTGAAGTTGATAGTAGAGGGCAAAAAATGTAGTGTTTTTTAGATCAGTGACAAGATGGCTTTGGAGCGTGTCTTATGAATGCAAAGAGGTGATAAAACTCTTTTGAAAGATGAAAACAATGGTGTCCTATAATGAGGTGTAGGTATTTAGGATGATCATTAGTGTGTAGCAGCAAAACCACTTTAAAATAGAGGAAGAGAGAGATGATAAAATGCTTTGTATCATATTTGTAATAAATTCTCTTCTCAATTATTTTTTAATATGCAACTTTTTGGTTTTTATATACTGTAATTGTGTATCACAGAACCATGTGTAAAAGAGGTTGTTAAACCCTCTGATATGTTATCCTGTATAAATATGTTCATGAATGAATGAATGAATGAATAATTTCTCTAGTTAGTTTCTCTTAATTGTTATCATATCCCCTCCTTCGCTGATTCTCCTATTTGAATACGCCTAGATGCCTTAACAAGGGATAGCCAATGAACCTATTACAAGGCTCGTATACCAACTGTAAGTAAAAGTAGCTCATCTACCAACATTCTATAATCCTTTAACGTTTTTGCTGTTGTTGTTTAATCATGTGGTCTTTTTTGTTACAAAAGCTGTTTTTAAAAAAAATAATTATGATAATAATTATGAAAACAGTTCATATGATAATGATATAGAGTAGAAGTATTAATATTCATATCCGATAGTAATTGTTTTAACATCTACCGCAGTATGTACGATTGGAACATGATACGGATCCTAACAAAGTTCTCGAACTTCTAAGGGACCATTGGAAGCTGGGAGTACCGAAACTTCTCATCTCCGTGACTGGTGGTGCCAAAAACTTCCGCATGAACCCCAGGCTGCAAAAAGCGTTTAGGAAAGGTCTTATCAAAGCGTCACTCAGCACAGGTAGGATAAAATGCAGATTCAAACTCAAATCAAATAGGCAATTTATAAGCCACATTGCTTTTTTATGAAGAAGCACTTTCACTAGTGATAATTAAAGCAGATATATTTAAAAAACTTATATTATGATAGGGACATACAGTACGTTTTCTCAAACTATTATCTACATTAAAGATGTACTCTCTATCATGAACTAATAAGTTCAATAAATTAATAATTCTAATTTTAAAATGTGTTGATTCTCACAACTTGTTGGGCTGTACTATAAAAAAAAATCTGTCATGGGATATGAAAGTTCATGAGACAGTAGCTAAATGTAATCGCAATTGTGGTCTTATTCGACTACATCTCCTGCGAGCGAATTTTTTTTTTCGTGAAGAGCCAAGAATAGGAAAACATATAAAGCCCTCTGATTGGCTAGTGATAAGATGACGTGTCGCGCTTTTGTTTGACAGTCGCAAGGCATCTTGCACCCTCGTCAGTAGCAATGCGATACATGGCAACCAAATATAATGCAATACGCTTAGTAATAGCCTAGTCTTGATCTTTGAATGTAGGTTTTTACAGTATTGGGAACAACATTTAGTAGGCTACCATAGTCACAGCTGATCGCACAGCAGTGATGGTGCCAGCACCTGCCCGACGGAGGGGCTAAAGCCCTCGACGGGGAGGGGGGATAGTAGAGCGAATCGATTCTCACTTGGCTGGGGGAACGGGGGCCGCATAGGGCCCCCGTTGGGGGTCCAGGGAAGCCACGAATATTTGATGAATTATGGCGAATTTTTATAACTTATTTGGTAGGCATCGAGTTACTATATGACTTCATGTAGACTATGCTTTCTAATGTTGAAATCAGCTTCCAAAACCAAAACATTTTGAATAAAACAAGAAACAAAGAGTATGCAATGTAACCATCTAATTTATTTTCAAATCCTCATTCTTGAAAGTGAAATTCTATATTTTGGAAATTTTGCATAAAATCTGTCATGGTCGAGGTTGATCACAATATATTCCAACCATCATGAGGCTATCCAAATGAGCATTTGTCATAACAGAATGCAAATTATTTTTAATTAGTCTCATTGAATTATTATTATTATTATTATTATTATTATTATTATTATTATTATTGTTGCTGTTGTTGTGATGCAAATGTAACACAAACAATATGGTGGCTAAACGAATATTACATTATTTTTTTTTATTTGTTTGTTCCCCGACTATAGCCCCCTCTGGCGCCACCACTGTCCTACAGCTCTACCACTGCTACCAAGGCCAGACAGTACTGCAGTACTATAATACATGGGGCGACAGGCGATCGGGCCCACGAGACAATCGGGCCCATTTTCAGACGTTCGGGCCCAACTAGTGTGGACGATCGGGTCCACGAGTGTAGACTTTCGGGCCCGTTTTTTAAAATGGAGGATAGACGTTCGGGCCCAATTTTTTAAAAAAAAACGATCGGACCCATTTTCTCATGACGTATTCAGGTCGAAGCGGCCGCCCACGGCCCTAATGCAGCCGCGCTCAAAATGTACTGAACGCCAGTAGTGCTATACCGATTATTTGGGATATATGGCCTACTTTAAACCTTCTTCATAAAGCCTTAGCTCTATCTTTAAACTGTTGTATTATTAATAAAAATAAAACAACTATATTGAAATTTTTTTATTCTATTGATAAAATGAATATCACTGAAAAATTCTACTATGTTTTCACATTGTACTCGTATTTTAGATCGAATTTTAAAGTTGACAAACAGTTTTCTACGGATATTACATATGGCACTAATTTATGTATAAAATAATTAACTTTTATTTTATATTTCTTCCAGGACACAAAAATTGGTTTAAACATTGTATCTGTCAATAATAAAATCCATGTAATAAATGTATAAACGTGACTCCAAAAATATGCGTAATAGATTATCAGTGTACAATTACAGTAGAATATAATGAGTACTTACAAATGAATTGTTATTATTATTATTATTATTATTATTATTATTATTATTATTATTATTATTATTATTATTATTATTATTAATTTAATAAATACCCATGTTGAATATCTACACAAATATTTTAACAATAATTAACATTGGAGACCCAATCACCTTTTCAATAAGAAATTGCGTTTTTCTTCAAGTGCTGAAAAGATGTAGTCAAGACCACAACTGCAAGTCAAAAAAATCCTGACTGATTACGACGCTCAACCAGTTCTCAGCCACTTTACTTTCGTGGTTTGCACATTCCTCCTGACTGCTACATGCTGTAGGCCTTCAGTACAAACGACGTCGTTTGCATAGCAGTAGGTCTAGGAGCTAGTATTCCCTAGGGATCGCACACTTTAAGCGAGACTTTCTATACCCTGTTTAGTGATTTCGAATAGTTAACGCACCTTCCCCATCAAAAAATAGAAATTTTTGAAAATCATAAAAATGTTATTTATTTTTATTATTGCCTTCACTCCCCTGAAATATTCACAAATTAGATAAATTTCATTTATCAATCTCATTACTACACTGTTTACATTCATCAATAGACTGTATCTTTATTTTGTCCTTCACCTAGATGCTTTTGGCAAAATCATTTTGCTGTTTCCCTCCCTCTGACGACTTTTACAAAAAGAAGTTCACTAAACAAGGCACAGTATTATTAGAAAAGTCTCGCCTTTATACCTATCTGTCTATGGTAAATCAATGGTAGCCAATCAATATACGCGTGTATAGTGATAGTACAGCTCTTAAAAGTTAGTATTAATAACAACAACAGCAACAAATTATTATTATTATTATTATTATTATTATTATTATTATTATTATGATAATAAGTTATTGCACTGCTTGAATTTATGTTTTCTTCCTCTGAATTTGTGCAGTAAAATTATTATTTATTGATGGTGTCTATGTAACGTTACCACATAATGCATATTGTTGGTATTTGTATCTGTATTTTAGATGTATAAATCTAAATTGGAAACAAATCTCTTTACTACTGTACATATTGCTCTCTACTAGTGCATCTACACTCACACAAAATTGCGCATTTAAAAAAAAATAGAAACAAGTAAATTATAAAATAGTCAATAATATTAAGTCTGTATTTTTCTTTATTGTTCTTTTTAAATTTTTCTCGATTTATAAATAATCAACCAGTTTATAAATGATAAAATAAAGTGTGAAATTAACAGAGGGGAAAACCTAAACAAAAAATAGCACAGCGAATAAAGAAAGGCAGTAATTATTTGTTAACCAAAAAATTATTTCAAACAAAAACAATTAAGAAGTATATTAGTACAGTACAGTGAGAAAAGCAGATGTGACCATTAGTACAATCACAAACTAATTGATATTGAAATATCTGCAGGAACTAATTTTCCAAAGTGGTAAACTATTACAATTATTATTTGAAAAGAGTTTAATTTACATTTTTTGACTAATAAGAATAAGTTTTTCAAGGTTTTAGTTACGTTCATGACCATGTATTAATTTACGTTAAGTTTCATACCATTTGTTATTGCATACCATCTTGTACACCAAGAATAGACATTATTAAGATCATGTTGTTAAAAGAAACAAAACTTCATCTTCATAAGTTCTGACAACCCGATAGAGAAAGCGTCAATAGCATATTAGGGAATACATGATGAGATAGTCCGACAAGTGCAAATAATTTATATAACATAGCTCTATAAATACAACGAATGACTAAAATGCTTTACCATGGTCTTTACAAATCATATGGTCGTTTTATAAACGTAGCTTGAGTAAGATTTTCGTAAAGGCCTTCTTGAGGTAGTTTCTACAAGTCCCATTTGCACGAATTATATTTTATATACTTTGAACAATCTGTTTTCTGTTTTTCTTTTTAATAACCATTAAAATGTCATTAGTGATCAATGGCTTTCTGAGCGGACGTTTGCTTTACTTATCAATCAATAATTTTAACAAATTTTTGATTTATAATTATTCCATGCAGAATTAATCTCATTCGCGTTTGATGGAGATAACCATTTACTAGAAGAAAAGAGGTTATTAAAATCAGCGATATTTTAATCTTGTTATTTTCATAAAAAATAACCTGCTGGTGTCTTTGTGATTGGCTTACATAAATTGAGGTGCAAACCAATTCCAATTTGATCACCATCAGATATACCAGGAAGACATTCCAATAATAGTAACACCCTATCAGAACTCTGCCTAGTTAAAAAAAAGTCAATTAATTGTTCTAGCATTTATAGAGTTCATGATGAAATTAAAATTAATTTGGGTAGGACTTCAAATGGTACCATTGAAGGTGTAGTCAAAATTCATGTCTCCGGCTAGAATGATAACGTTGTAGATATGGCAAGGTCAGGCAAATGCAAAGCTCAAACTTATCGAAGAAAGCAACTTTAGAGTTTGGAGAACGATTTAGACAGCCAAGTAGATACTTTCATTTAGTGGTGCATATATTACACCATATGATTTCTACTAAGATAATTTAAAAACAAGCTTAAACAGATCATTACTACATGTTATTAGGAAGTCTTTTTGATACTGTAATAATGTATCTTGTATTTATATATTATGAACAAAAATGGTATACATAATATGAGGTGGTTTTATTGGTAGTTACTAAACTGTACAATAGAAAAATAAGGGCAAATAAGTAACAAATCCATCTTTTTTTGACACAATTAAAAAAGCATGCTACTTTGTTCCAACATGATGATACAAGGCGATTTCTTTAACATTATAGCTACCTACCCTTTTTGGCCAATACCAAAACCAGCCGATGCAAAAAACAGAAAATATAATGAAATAACAATCTGTTCAGATATTTACCTATTTAAGGGATCCCAAAAATCATCATCCCAAAACCTTCCTCTCAGCCATTCTGACCAGGGAAGATGTGTATAAGAGACAGATTCAGGTCGAAGCGGCCGCCCACGGCCCTAATGCAGCCGCGCTCAAAATGTACTGAACGCCAGTAGTGCTATACCGATTATTTGGGATATATGGCCTACTTTAAACCTTCTTCATAAAGCCTTAGCTCTATCTTTAAACTGTTGTATTATTAATAAAAATAAAACAACTATATTGAAATTTTTTTATTCTATTGATAAAATGAATATCACTGAAAAATTCTACTATGTTTTCACATTGTACTCGTATTTTAGATCGAATTTTAAAGTTGACAAACAGTTTTCTACGGATATTACATATGGCACTAATTTATGTATAAAATAATTAACTTTTATTTTATATTTCTTCCAGGACACAAAAATTGGTTTATATTCAATATTAACAATATATATATATATATATGTATATATATACAATAGTATTTATTCGATCAAAATTCATACAATAAAAATAAAACATGGCAGACAAAAGACTGAATTGCGAATTACGTTAACATCAAAAAGGTTAACCAACAATAATAAAGGGAAATAACAAAAACCAAAAAAAGAAATCACTTCACGATAAAAGTATATATAACATTATTTTCATTATTTTGATAATTACATTAAAATTACTGAAAAATGTTATTCAAAATTAATAGTCCGACAAGTGCAAATAATTTATATAACAATTTTATTAAAAATTTATGTAGGAAATTACATTATTATTATTATTATTATTATTATTATTATTATTGTTGTTGTTGTTGTTGTTGTTGTTGAAAGAATGAATATTGTACAAAAGGACAATAAAGACATCAAGAAAGTTAAAAAACAAGGAATCATTGGGCCGTCAACCAAACTAGTACCAAACCCCCTAGTCAATCGAAATTACAAATCCACTGATATATATTGGTACTGCAACTAGCGATGGTAAATTTAGTTTTTAACGTGGTGTTACGAGAATTCACCTAAGGCGGGGGGAGGAGGAGGGGGAGCAAGGCGTGAACTTTAGAATACGGGTGAATGAGGGTTTAGCAAAACAAATACCCGCAGAAGGATAACGCCTGTTACAAAGTTTATCCAAGTGAAATTCAAATAGGATACCTATTTTATTACCTAAAATAATGTTACAGACACTCTTCTGGACCTGTTCAATGCGGAAATGCAATAACAGTGTCAGTCCGTCATTCCAAACAGGAACGGCATATTCTTATACCGGGCGAACAGTACTCATGTACTTGCTTAGGTCTGCAAGAGGAACACCATGGTATTTAAGGGCTCCTAAAATATACAATTTACTGTTTAGCCATTTGACAATACTATTATGCGAATCCCATTAAAGAATAGCTTGAAGAATAAGTGTCAATTATTTTCAAACATAATCATTCAGAAGAATAGATGAAGGAAAGTTAGTTTTGCAAAACATAATGTCCATAGTACAACAATTTCCCTACAATTAAGTTTCATATTACCACCTAAAGCCCAATCATGTGCGCAGTTGCACATAATTGAAGTTCAGACTGATTTTATACAATTTTGTGATACCCGATTAAGGCAAGATCGTCGACGTATTTTAATTGTTTTACACAATTATCTTTTAGATTGTCCATGTGGGTAGCATTTAAGAAATCGAGTCTGGCCTAGAGAATCCAATAAAATTATACATAAATTAATTTTATAATGTAGTACTACAATACTATTACCTATCATTTCTTCATTTTGGAAATCATTAGAAAAAAAAATAATAGAATGTGTATCTTATATCTAGCCTCATGCCCAAGCATATTATCGCATGGATGTCAGTGGTAATGTAAAGCTAGATCCAAATCACACCCACTTCTTACTCGTCGATAACGGTACTTCCGGCATCTTTGGTGTTGAAATCGAACTTAGGGCTAAGATTGAGAAAGCTATTTCATATCAAAGAATTGGTGGGGGTAACCATGGTAAGTTCAGTAAAATAATTTATGCATTTTGTATATGTTTAAAAATAAATGTCAACTAATTAGGAATAAAAAAAAAATGCACCATAATATAGTGCAAAAAATATTATCTTTTGCTATTTGCCACAATATTTTTATTTATTATCACTTTGTTATAGATAGCATGTTACTTTCTAGCAATACTTTGATTGAATTTATTTTCCATAGAGGATGTATGTGTACCAACCGTTTGTGTAGCAGTCGAGGGCGGTCCAAATACCATCTTAACAGTGCACGAAGCGGTCACGCACGGTACTCCAGCTGTAATTGTTAACGGCTCTGGACGTGCTGCAAATATCCTTTCATTGGCTGCACAAAAAGCGACAGAAGTTGAAGTTAAAGATAACAGTGGCGGTAAAGAGTGAGTAGTTTTCTAGTTATATTTTTTTCTACTTGCTTTTATTATAAATGAGAGTATATGGAAAAACTTAAACTCAACCTTCAGGCCATGGTGTTGTGTAATTTTCAGTTGCAGATTCTTGTTTTCTAAAGCATCAGTTTTCTGTATGGCTGAACATGGTACTATCATAATTAAATTTGAATGCTTCTCTCCTTTTTAATTTTTTGAAAAAATAGAGGGAGGGATGGCTGGCTATTCCTCTTAAAACCGTCGATGATTCCTTCACTACTAGTGTAGTAGTTGTAAACCTCCAGTCTGTTACAAAGGTGTAGTATTAAAGAAAAAGATGGGGGAAGTAATTATAGGGAGTAAGTGATATTGCTGATTTTTGTCTCTTTTCCATCAAAGTAATCCCATTATTGCTAATGCCATAAGGTAATCATTTGATAGATTATCAATTACGACAAAATTAATTAAACATGGCATATCATTGTCTGACAGAAAAAAGAAGGTCATCGGTAAAAAATTGAGGCAAGAATTATCACAGCTAATCAAGAACATTGATGAGAAAGAACTTGATGAGAAGGACATAGAGATCCATTTAAATCGCATAGAAAAATGTGTTCAGAAAACAAACCTCTTTAATGTGTACGACATGGACTCATCAACTGGTGTCAAAAATATTGATGAAGCTTTTTTACATGCTTTACTGCGAGGTATAATAACTTATTTCCTTGATTTTGATAGACACTATTATTTATATTAATAAAAACGACCGTGGGATTTTCATAGTATAGAGTTTTTATTCTGCATTCACAATTTTCACATCCTAAGCCTTTATGCACTTGCATTAAACAGCAATTAAAGTCATACCAAAATCATTTTGGGCCAGTATTTTTATTTCAGTGTATATATTACATTACAGTATTATTAAATAATGTACTTTACTTTTCCATAATACTTTTTATTTAACAAGGACAATTATGTATATGTGGTAATAAAGTATTTTAATATCTTATCCCCTAGGAAAGTAATTATTAATAATGTGAAATAAAGTTTGAAAATAAATGATTCATTTTATGGATGTATGTAAAAATGAATATGCATTTGGATTATTCCTGTTTAAATCCTTAATTTATTATTTCAATGATTAATTTATATTCCGACCTGTAGCTAATAAAGGAAGCAAGCAAGACCAGTTGAAATTGACACTTGTATGGAATCGTATTGACATTGCTAAGAGTCAACTTTTTACTGATGACAAAGATTGGAAGGTATGTAGGCAAACAGACATGTGGGGGATAGATCATAGAATTTCAGAACTGAGGTTTATTTTTATTTAATTTATATTTATTGGCTTTTCCTAACAGTAGAAGGAAAACCATTGTTTTTGTAATTTTTTCCATACTTTTTTAACTATCTTTTTGCACAGGTGTTTTCCTGAGCCGCACTTTAGTCACTTTCAATGCTTGGATCTTTTCCAAACTTTGTCCAAATATAGACCATATACTAAAGATGTGCCTCCAAATTGTACTAACAATTTTGAGTGGGGTGTGGATGTGAGGGCCAAATAAAAAGATTTAAGAGCGCTCTTGCCTGTATATATTTTTGTAGATTACCGTAAGAAAGTTGTGCATGATAAGTTAATCATCAACGTCGAAATAGTTGAAGTAGTTGAGAAACATACGTACTTAAGACTGGTAACAAGCAATAAACTAAATTGGGATGAAAATACAAATGAACTACTTAAAAAATACAATAAACGTATACACTTTCTGTATCGCATAAAAAGATTTTTAGCGTTAACTCACAACTTATGTATCTGTTCTTCGCATCAGTTATTCAATCAATATTGTGCTACTGTATTATTATTTGTTTTTCACATGGCAGTGATAAGGATAAGATGATTATAAACAAAGGAGCCTCAAGAAATATTGATTTTACTTTTTGTGAACTTGAGCAACTTTGTAAGTCTTATTAATTAGAGAAGCTAAAGCACATAATGCAAGTTACCACTTTCCTCTTCATAACAATATTGTAATACACCCGAGTATGTAATTCAAAACACATCTCTGAGATGTGTTTTGAATTACATACTCAGTGTATTACAATATTGTTATGAAGAGGGGAAGGTGTCGTATCTTTAATAATCGAGTATTGGCGGCTTCAATTAAAGTTATAGTGTTTAAAAGCAGTAGGTCTTGGTTTGATTACTTTTTATAGTATATATAAATTATATATACGCGGTATATACTGTATAACATTGTCTTTGATGTATTTACTTTACTTTACCTACTTTAAAGCCTTGGGTCCACATGCAACTTAGCCCCACCATGTTAGTGGCTGAGTGGGGCTGAGGTGAACAAAATTTAGAAAATAATACCGCTAGATGGCCGGAAATGATACTTTTATTTAGTACAATTTATCAATCACAATTATTTATATTGTCAAAATAAAGCGTCAACTAATTTCTCATAGTATTTTATCAGCAATTTTCGAATACATAGTGATTTAATTAGTATGTCTGATGTACTAGGGAACAGTTAAATTACTTAATTGTAATTTAACTGTTCCCTGGATGTGCCATAGAAAATAAACCTTAAAAACATTGTCTGTGACTTTCTTGCTTCAAAGTTGTGAGTCCACACCCATCTCAGCCCCACCATAGTTGGGGATGAGGCAAGAAAGTTTAGGTAAATAGTACCTCTAGATTGCCGGAAACGTCACTTTTATATAGCAAAATTCATCATCATTGATCTAATAAATCGCTGTGTGATATTTGAAGTATTTACTTCACTTAGATCTTTGTGGGTAGATAAACTAGCATCTTGCTATAGAATAAGATGTACTCTGGCTGTACAATGTTTTTCGTTAAAACCTGAGTCACATTTCAACAATTTCCAGCATTTTGAATTATAAAATTACATTGCGGACGAAAAGTGACAGAGACCACCCCACCCCCCGCAAAAAAATGTAATGTTGGGGACGTGTTCCCACATGATCTGCGCCAATGATGTTATGGCCCATATCTACACCAACCCTAGGTTTCCTTGTGTCCTACTAATATTTCCAGAATAATTTATATCCATTCTTAGGCTGTATAATAAATAGTATATACTACTATAAAGATACATTATATAGAATACACAAAACTTAAAAATAAATTGTTGAAAAAATGTGCTTAAAATAGTTTTTTTTTTTTGTTTTTTTTTTAAATCTTATTTTAGAAAGGAGAACTTGATTCAGCTCTGCATTATTCTTTGGTGCATGACCAAGTGGATTTCGTGAAGCTGTTTCTTGATCGTGGCGTCAGTTTAAAGGAGTTTTTAACAGTACGAAAATTGTCTATTTTATATAATGAGGTAGGGTGACACCACTGTTAAATATGTTTTTTTTTCTCTCAAGAACTCCAGATTTTAAACTTTTAGGCCTACAAGTTCTTTTAAGTAATCGTTCACTTACCTTTATTTATAAAACGATATTTTCAAAATTGAAGGATTGACTTAAAAGAGCTTTTATGTAAACTTTTCTCCTGTTTTCATATTACTTTATATCTTTCACACTACTATTTGTGATGCTAAGAGAAAAATAATATTTTAAAAATGTAATAAATTTTTAAAATATCTTTTAGGTAGTTTTGTCACTTTTTATACATATTTTATCTTTTAGGTGAAAGAGAAAACTCCAATTTACAAATACTTGGACAAACAGAGAGGAGGAAGAAAGGTTGGTTTTTTGACACACAAAGAAACTTGTTTAAAGAGAAAACATTAACTATATCTTACCTGTAGGCTTACTGGCAAATTTTGACAGCAAACCAGAATTGTGACACATCAACTCAGCTGTCACCATAGAGTTGAGCTATGCGGTAGTCATGCTCAAGAAAAAGTAAAAACACATAAGCATTGGTTAATTATTTCATAGAGTGTTCTCTTTTCTCTATGATTATTCTAATAAAATATTAAATTAATCACTATTGAATCTGTATTGTAGTAAATAAATCAAAGTAAAATGAAATTTTATTTTTAAAATGTCACCATTTGTCACCATTGATGAAAGATAATAATAATAATAATAATAATAACAATAATAATAATAATAATAATAATAATAATAATAATAATAATAATAATAATAACTTTATTTATATAGCGCAAACAATATCCAATTAAATTGATCACAGGCGCTGTACAGAATTTAAAAAATATAAATTTACAAAAATCAATACTTGATATGTAATATACATTAAAAGTTAAAATAGAAAATTGGAACATTAAAAAGAAAACATACCCGGAGCAACCCTCTGTTATCTTTTCAGGACCAATTTAATCTGCTTGATGTGGGGAAGCTACTTCAACAGATGACGATGGATTCGTACAAGCCGCTTTACCTTCGGGATGAAAACCGTTACATGTTAAACATACCAGAGAACGAGAGTGAGACAATGGCTATCGCGTCAACAGGGCAAAATCGTGTATCATTGGCAATAGCTGAGACTGCCAAAGTTTTGGTACCAAATAGTAAGTTTGATTATTTTAATAATAATTTTTGTATGTATTGCAAGCTTCTACAGGTTCTTATTTATTGTATAATTTAATTAACTGTAATAATTATTGAAATTATACAGTAGTTCCTCAAGAAAATAGAAAATGGTTTACGCCGAAGTAGGCCCTACCAACATGACAGTATGGTTTGAATGAAAAACAAATTCATTAAAAAATGGCTGTTAAGCATAGGCAGGCAGTACTGAAAATTGAAAATAGGATTCCCAGTATAAGCCCACAGCCCAAAATCGGCATAATTTTGTATTGGGATGGGGGTCGGAGTGGGCATATACCAAAGAAATTAAGGTAGAATTAATGATAATAGTATAATATTGGTAACCTTTTAAGGTATGTCAAAGTGTCCATTGTTTGCTTTAACAACTTCACATAAAATATGTTATAAAGAGTAAATAAGTAATTTAACTTAATCGTTTAACATCACAATGTATTTCTTTTGCAGTTGCACCATATATAGTTGGTAATTATGAAAAACATTTTGCATAAGGCCTTATAACCACAGCATGAATAGTGGTACTAACACTTACAGAATATGAAGTTGATGAGAATTGTAGAAGTGCATGATTTGGCAAGTGAATTTCACAGTCTGAATTGTACTTTGGCATACTTTTTATATTCTTTGGAAACATATACAGAGTAATATCCTGTGAGTTTTGAAATTAATTTAAATATATGCAATAAAAGCTGTGAATCAACCCAGAAATGCACTTTTTTTCTGGTCATGTAATGTCAAGGGTCATGACTTTTGTTACTTTTCGTTGCTGTCTAGTTATGGCATTTGCTTTTTAAGTAGTTTTGCCTAAAAACCTTTTCATAAATAATTTTTAATTTTGCTGTATTTAACTTAAACCATCTAACCTCTAGTTGTCAATAAACATGACATTAATAATAACTTAATTTTCCTCTAATATATTTGGCTGCTTGGGTTCATTGGCATGGGAGAAGTAGTGGGATTATTGTAAGATATAATGTTAGGGGATAAAACTTTTTGTCTAGTGACAAAATGTTTAGTAAGTCTTTTTTTTTAATGAGTTTTAATCGGTCTAATTGGTTTTTTTCTTGTTGATCTCTTTTTATATTGTCTTAACTATTAAAATTGTAAATTATCCCTATTCCATTTTAGCTTTGCGTTGATCCCTTTCCTATTCTTCCTTTTGGCAACTGAATGTTTCGTTTGCAGGATCCCAATGGAAATAGGTTTGTTTGAAACCTTTTGGGGCTTTTCCTTGCTTTCAGAGTATTCAGTTGTACTGTTTTACCTTGTTTTGTCTTCCTTGTTGTTGTATTTCACTCTGATGGCTAAATAAACTCAAATCAAATCAAATCAAGGTTGGGATCCGGAGGGAAAGCATTCTGGTGTCTAAAAACTGGTCACATTTTGGGCAATTTAAACTTGTTTTCAGGCATTTTTTAATGTATTATGCCCAATGGTGCTGCCACTGTGCGCCTGATTACATCCCACAAATTTTGCATTAACTCAAAGGGAATGCAATTCCTTGAGGCCTAGCATACAGTTTTATTGCTTAAAGATATTTTTTTCTTATACAACCTGCATTGCTAATTGCTGCATATAAGCATCCTGAATGAGCATACAGTACATATCATTATCAAAGCACAGGATGAGAGTTAACTGTATAATGTAATATATTCATTTTTCGGCCATGAATATTTATTTTGGATATCATGCATGTAAGTTTTTAAAAAGAGCTTCTTTATCTCTGTAAGTCTGACATAGTAACCATTATTATCATCATAATTTGTAAGATAATTTAATATCATTATTTCTGTTATTATAATTATGAATAATAAAGTTATTAATTTAGTCATTAATCAGCTATAGTAGTAAAATATTTTTTTTTTAAAAGAATATTGAAATTAGAATAAAGTCCTAAAGAATTGCTGATGTAGTGAAAATTGCTATTGGACAATGAAGTTTTGAGTTCAGAAGGAAAACTGAAAATAATAAAAAAAACTCAAATTAAACTAATTTTGTATCTAATTTACAGATTACTGATATCATTTTTAATTTATGAAATTTGGCTCCAAAATTCAAAAAAAGCAGACAGTTCAACAAAAAGTATTTTATTAAATATAATAAAATTAATAATCAATAATTTATATAAAATAATAATGAATAATTTTTTTAACTTTTCATTTTTTATATACTTTATTTTAAGAGATGTGTCAATGAGCTATTTGCTACAACTAAAATAATTAAATGTTTATATGTTCATCCATGCAGACTGTAAATCGAAAGGAAACCCTAACCAATTTGATAACCCGATTCGAGAGCTTTTGATCTGGTCAGTTCTACAAGGTCGTAAAGAAATGTCTCATTACTTTTGGGAAGAATGTAAAGAGTTGATGATTGCTGCTGCCCTCACCTCCTGTATGATCCTCAAGAATATGTCGCAAAAACAGGATGCTGCTGACTATAAGGAGCAACTCTCTGAAATGTCAAAGTAAGAGGCCAATATATATATATATATATATATATATATATATACATATATATATATATATTTATATATAGGGTTCTCACCACGCTGGTCGGCGGTGGTAGGGCCCGTCCAGCACTCAATATTTCTGACCAGTATTTATAGGCTGCTGACCACCAATTGATAGTGGGAAATGCTTGCTACATTAGATAAGAAAAAAATATCAATTAACATCTCCGTGGTAACGTTCATTTGAAACCCTACTGCTGTGTACGGTGGCCCATAAGTTCACGGCAAAATCAATTTGCTGACGGCAATATAAACTTTTGAATTTGGCTCACGGCAATATAAACTTTTGCCCACGGCAATATCAATTTGCCTTACGGCAATATAAACTTTTGCCCACGGCAATATCAATTTGGTTCACGGCAATATAAACTTTTTCCCACGGCAATATCAATTTCCCTTACGGCAATATAAACTTTTGCCCACGGCAATATCAATTTGCCTCACGGCAATGTAAACTTTTGCCCACGGCAATATCAATTTGGTTCACGGCAATATAAACGTTTGCCCACGGGAATATCAATTTGGTTCACGGCAATATAAACTTTTGCCCACGGCAATGTCAATTTGCCTCACGACAATATAAACTTTTGCCCACGGCAATATCAATTTGGTTCACAGCAACATACATTTTTGCCTACGGCAATATCAAGTGCCTCATAGCGTGCCTCATAACGATTTCTACCGCCACCAAGGGGGTTATGTATTCACCGATGTCACTGTCTGGGTGTCTATTCCAGTTTGTTTTTATATCTAGTAAATAAAAAGTGATTGGTAAAAACTCATAATACCGGTACGGGACGTCGGTAAAGAAGTGCAAAATACAGTCATCATTATGAATTATTGTGCTTTATTGATCCATACTATTGGTAGGCCTATTAGCTCAGATTTCAATGCTTTTCCAACCCAATATTATTGACATTGAATACAGCTCTGATACTCACAGTATATATTTTTTTTAATCACAAATTAGAACTGCATATATGTAGTTTTAAAACAATGTGCATTCACTTAAAATTTATTTACAACACAAGTTTAGGTAATTACTGTAGGCCTATACAATTAATTCCCGGTTAAAAAGTATATATA